CTGTATTCTGAATTTAACTGGAAGCCAGTGAATAGAATCCAGGATAGGAGAGATATGATCTCTAATTTTCATCAGAACTCTGGCTTCAGCGTTTTGGATCAGCTGAAGGCTTTTAACTACAGTTTGTGGACTTCCTGATAGTAAAGAATTACAATAGTCCAGCCTTGAAGTAACAAATGCATGGACTAGTTTCTCAGAATCACCCCTGGACAGGAGATTTCTAATTTTTGCAATATTGTCCGGATGAAAAAAGAAAATTCTAGAGACCTCTTTAATATGGGATTTAAATGACAGGTCCAGATCAAAAACAACACCAAGATTTTTTACTTTATTATCTGAGATCAGTTTAATCCCATCCAAATGAAAGGCTCTAATCAAAAGATTATAATTCTCTTTTGTCTGCATTCAGGAGCAGAAAGTTGAGTCATCCAGGTTTTAATGTCTTCAAGACATGCCTGTAATCTATGTAATGGATTAGCTTCATCTGGATTTATAGAGAGATATAGCTGATTATCATCAGCATTATAATGGAAATTAATAATAATAATATATCAGATAAATAAAATTTAAACCAGTTTAGAACTGTTCCCTTAATTTCTACAAAAATTTCAAGTCTTTCAAAAAGAATCTTATGCTCATCTGTGTCAAATGAAGCACCAAGGTCTAACAGGACAACCACAGTTACAACTCAATTATCTGAGGCCATGAAAATATCATTAGTGAATTTCACCAAAGCTATGATGAGCTCTGAAACTCTCAAAAAGTTCTTTATGGTGTAACTTTAGATAATAAAGGAAGATTGGATATAGGTCTATAATTGACCAAGTCATCTAGGTTTTCTATCACAGTACCACACACTTAGGATAATAGGGAGGAGATCATCACCATGGTGTGTCCTCCCATGCTGGTGGTTGCCTATGCCCCAATTTTAATGAACACATTAGTATAATTTGTAACATTTCCAACACATACATATGTAGGGCATCAGGGTGGGTATGTTCAGGCTGGCATAGGCTCTTTTGCAACATAGGACGATTTGGCCCCTTGAAACCTAATGTGCCTAATGGACCTGGTGATTTCCCTTTTTATATATGACTGGAATAAATTCTGTTTATGAGTAAAGATGTTTTATCTCTTTTTTGCACATTCTCTGAGAAATGTCCTCCTGAAAATGAAGAACTGGAGTCAGAACAACCTTTTGGTCTTTTTTTCTGGTTTTGCCTCATGACCAAGTCTGTCTGCCATTGCCAAGATTGACTTCAGGCTCCTAGCATCAAGAAGGAGGTTTACTGATTTCCCAAAGGCAAGATCTAATTGTTACCTAAGGTCTTTTATACCTTTAGCTATTGGGTTTATACATACATTCTAATAATTGTGCTTCTTGGAGTTCTGGTATTGTAATAGTGTTTTAATATTTCAATGTCCCTTTCTTTTTGTGTGTGTTTGTTGATTAGCTGTAAAGGAATTGCCCCTTTGGGACAATTAATTGTTTCTATTCTATTCTACATAATTCTTACGCCAGGGATCCTCTTTCTCCAAATCCTCTTTACATGGATGCCTTTAGCTATGAACCTTTAGGTTGGATTTCTTGTTATTGTAACCTAATCAACCTACTCCTTTAACACTCTGGTTAGGAGAGTGGCGACCTAGTGTTTAGGGCATAAGGCTTGGAATCCTGACGTTCTAAGTTCAAGCCCCATTCCGGCAGACTGCCAAACTGGCCCTCTGAGCAAGACCCTTAACCCCTGATTGCTCCCTGGGCGCCCCACGATGGCAGCCCACTGCTCCCCAAAGGGATGGGTTAAACGCAGAGCTAAATTAAATCAATAAAGTTTAGTTATTATTATTATTTTAGATACTCAATTCCAGAATCCAATATTTTATTAGATATTAATCCTAACATTTCTAATCCTGGCCTCTCCTAGAAATGAAAATACAGTGAGGAAAATAATAAAATAATCCCAACAGAAGAAGCCAACAGTTACACAATCTGAAGAGGAGTTGCTGTCTTGGAAATTAGGTAAGGAGTAGTTGTGCTGAACTAAGTTACTAACTCAGTGGCTCTTAGCTTTTTTTTTTGTGTTTTCCTTAAATTCGAGAACTAAATTATCTGAAAGGGGGAAATAATATAGTAAAATAATATATATAAATATATTGAAGCGAGCAAATTTTCAAATTGATAGCAAAAACTGATATTACGTGAGACTGAAGAAATTTTGAGAAAAAATATTTTGTCATAGAATAAATTAAAGATGAATGATCGTTTCCAAGGGGAAAAATTCTATCAAAAATATTTTTGACCCTGAAATCTATTTTTTTTTTTGTTGCAATCAGAGTGAAAAT